GGAGAACACTGGTTGGTGTACAGGGAGCAGCAAGGTGCCCGTGCCAGGTGGGGAAACCCGGAGGAATCCACTTCAACCAGAGATGGGGCCGGTGGGGGAGGGGCAGAGTAGAAATTGTGGCCTGGAACGTCACAGGCCCTGAAAGGGGGAGGCAGGGCAGGGGTCCAGGATTAGGAAGGTTCTGAGTAGGGGCTGAGGGGACCTAGAGAAAGGGGTCATCGTGAGCCAGGGTGGGTGAGGGCACATCACACCTGGACCAGGGAACCCCTCGCCCTCCACCCGGTCATGTTGTGTCTCTCTCCCCGCCACGCTGGAGAGCTCCTGGGGGGCCAGGGCTCCAGTGTATTCGTGAGTCCCCACCGTCATCCAGCACCGGGGGGGCAGTGTCTCCAGTTTGGGCCCAGACATTCATAGTCCTTGAGCTCCCGAGGGCAGTCGTGAAGTGGGCCAGGATTCGGGCTGGAGCTATCTGGGAGTGCTCAGCCCATGGGGGGCATTGGAGATGGGTCTGTTGGCCACCTAACACACCAGGGGGCTGGCCGGGACAATCTAGCGTGATCCACCCGTGTTACAGATGGGAAAGTTGAGGCCTGGTATTGTGGTTGACTCTACACACATCCGTCTCCCCTGCTGGGCTGGGGTTGCCTGGTGGACAGAAGTAAAGCCTCATTCAACCTCAGTGCCCGATGCAGGGCTCCACACATCACAGGTGCTCAAGAAATGTTTGATGATGGAAGGGAGGAGGCATTCTCCAGTTTCCAGCTACTCTCCCACACTTTCACACACGCCCCCCCCCCATAGGCACAGCGACACAAACAGGATCGGTTTCTGCCTGGGCCATGCCTCCCTGGGACTTTCTTGCAAGGTTCCAAGGAATTGCACACAAGGCCTGTGGGCTGAGCAACAACAGAGAGAACCACCCTTGGTGATTGACAATAAGTGCTTTCCCGCCAATGACCTCATCACAGCCTCCCGCCAGTAGGCAGGGCAGGGACTCTTAATGCCTGGGCTCAGATGAGTAAACTGAGGCTCCAAGAGGGCTAGGGACTTGCCCAGGATGGGGGAGCACGCCAACGTGGAAGCCTCCTTACCCAGGTGCCCTTTACCTGTCGTCCCAGCCAGGCAGCACCTTAGCAAGCTGAGTAGAGGAGTCAGTCAGCCAGATATCCAGCCCTCTCCCTGCAATACTGCCTGCCCTTGTGTTCCTGGGACACAGCCAACAGGGACTTGGGGAAGCAGAGGTAGGGGAGGGGAAACATGTAAGCCCCAGAACGTTGCACTTGTGGCCCAACAGAAGTGACTAAGAAGCTGTCCTTCTCTGTAGGGCCCGGCCAAGCACATTAGGAACGGGGGGGGGGGGGGGGGGGGGGGGGGGGGGGGGGGGGGGGGGGGGGGAGTGGGGGAGGGCAAAGGAGGGGCCCCAGACACAGGCAGGGAGGTCCACAGGCAGCTCAGGAGGGGCTGGGAGACCCAGATGTGAAGGAGGGGCAGGAGGGGTGTCCCTGGGGCACAGCGAGCAGCTCAGCACAAGAGTGGAGCTGGAGAGATATTTGTTGATGCTTGGTTTATGCCAAGAGAGGGCTGGCTTGGTCCCACCCACCTGCTGCAGGAAAAACACCAGCAAAGCAAAGACACGTTTCTCCACTCCGCTCTGGTTCCCTGAGCCCTAAAGTGGAGGAAGACAAGGAAATTCACCTCCAGGCCTGTGCCTGGTCTTCTCCCAAAAGCTAAAACAATCTTTTACTAGGACACCCTATAATGAATGTGTCTGCCATTTATCACCTTTGTTTTGGGGTCAGGGAGTATAGGGTTGGCACTTACTTTCTTTTCCTTCTTCACAGCATCCACTGTATAATTCCATTCCAATAGAATCGGGTCATGTGTGCTGGTTTTTATCGACCATGGTCTCCTCCCCACCAGCCCCCCCGTCCCTGCTCAGCCCATAAACCCGCCATCTCCCAACAACCCTGTGGCCTCGTCTGAGCCGCAGCTTGCTCCTTTGTAAAATGAGGACATCTGCACCCCTTCCCCTATCAAAAACAGATGTGCAAGGAAACGAGGATACGCAAACACTTCGTGAGCCGACAAGTTTAGGAGCAAAGCTGGGAAGTGTAGTATCCATAAACCAGCTTACCAGTCACAACCCCGGGAAAGCCAATTCCGTCTCTGAGCTCCGACTTCCTCCTTTGTAAAATGAGAACATTAGCACCAACTCCCCAATCCAAGACAGATGTGAAGTGGGATGAGCACATGGAAACCTTCTGTGAGCTAGATAGTTTAGTACCAAGAGGAGGGAGAAGAGCTCCTAACACAGGTCGGCCGCTGCTCAGCCCCGGCCCTGCCCACACCGGGCAGCAGCTGGGATCTCAGGCCCCTGTCTCCAGAGCTCCCGGGGCTCAGCCAAGCCCTCGGTCACAACACACACATGCGCCTTGCCCTGAGCCCAGCTCCCCTGGAGTCCCCAGCAAAGGGGCAAAGACATAGTTTCCCTCCTGACCTTGAGTTCCTGCTGCCTTCTGGGCCCAAGCCCTGTGCCTTCCTAGCACCTGTCGCAGGCCCCCAAGCTCCTCTTTGACAGTCCGAAGGATTTCAGTGGGCCGAGCGGGTCCAGCCTCACGCCACGTCTTCTGGAAACAGGAAGGCCAGGTAAACCAATGTCAACTTAAAATCATTCCTCCCCACTAAACACTAGGTGTTGATCCTTAGCAAATCAAGCAGGTTTTTTGAAGAAAAAAGGAAACGGCCTCATTCTGAGCTCAAGAAAGTCATCTAGCGTGGAAATTGGTTCAAAGCTGTTTATTTTTGTAGGAACTCACTAAGTGCTCAACTGGCAGACCTCCAGCCCACAGGGAGAAGTTAAGATTGTGAAACAAAAAACAAAAAAAAATATTGTGAAACAAAGTAGTAAACATAAGAAGCCATGTCCCACTGCTGGGCATCTACCCAAAGGAAGAGAAGTCATTTTATCCAAACGACACCTGCACTCAAATGTTTATTGCAGCACAATTCACAATCGCAAAGATGTGAAATCAACGCAAGTGCCCATCAATTCATGAGTGGATTAACAAAATGTGGTGTATGTATATCATGGAGTACTACTTGGCCATAAAAAAGGATGAATTAATGCCTTTTGCAGCAATTTGGATGAAACTGGAAACCATTATCCTAAGTGAAGTATTTCAAGAATGGAAAAACAAACAGTACATGTACTCTTTATTAAATTGGAACTAACGGATGAGCACACATGGGCACAGAAGGAAGTAAAACTCAGTGGAAATCAACCAGGGGGGTGGGGCAGGGGAGGATGGGAGAGGCAAAAACCTACCTAACAGGTACAATGAACACTATTTGGGTGATGGGCACACTTAGAATCTGGATTTCAAAAGCCATCCATGTAGCAAAAACATTTGTACTCCCTTAATACTTTGAAATAAAATATAAAAAACATTTTTTAAAAAAAGAAGCCACGTTTGCTCATTGCTGCTTGCCGAATAATCTCACAAAGCCACCGACTGTGAGACGTGCAGCCCTCTGGAGAGGGGCTTTGAAGGCAAACAAGACAGAGGACAAGGTCCCCCACACCTCTTTCCCCAGCCATTATGTTCCTTAAGAGATAAATGACCGCAGTCCTTGACTTTCCTTGTACCTAAGATAAAGGCCAATGGGTTAGTGATTATGTCTCTGTGATCTATAATCAGATATGTTCTTGCAACCAAACTGGTGTGATTCTGCTAAACTGTCACTTCTGAGCAAGTCTGGTGTGATTCTGCACATACTAAACCCCTGCCACCCGTATATTAGCAGTGGCCTGAAATGCTGTGTCCTTAGTCCTCCTTCTAAATAAAACTAACTTTAATTCTTTAAAAGCTTGATTTTTTTTTCTTTGGTCGACAAGATCCTCTTTCTTTTTGATGTCCCTGGGTTCAGAAGCAGAGGTCTGGCCCCAGGCTGAGTGGGAGCCCCTGGTCCTCAGCCTGGCAGCCCACACCAGGCGGCCCACCCACCTCCTCAGCCAGGGAGTGGAGAAGGACAGGCCTGGCTGCCCAGCCTGGCCAGACCGGCTGAGCAGGTGCTGCCCCGGGCTGGGCCCCATGTGAGCTGAGGGGGCCGGTGGCCACGTCTGGGGGTGCCTCTGAGGAAGGGAAGAAAGACCACACTCTGCCTCCTGGCTGGTTTCCCAGGGCCCAGCAGGAAGGGCACTGGGGTGGGGGTGCTGAGCGAGGGGAGGGGGTGTGAGAAGCGGGCTTAGTTGGGCTGAAGGGAGAAGGCTGCGTGAAGGGAGGGAGTCTTCCAGAAAGGACAGCTGTGGAATTATTTCCCCCAAGTCAGTGCCCCCAAGTTCAGCTTCTATCGGTTTCAAAATGCCCCATATTTGTGTGTGACCTTGCCATTCCCACCATCCCACCCAGCTGTCCAGCTGTCCAGCCCTTCACAGGCCACTGTTCCCCTTCTGAGAGAGGTCCATCCTAGGCCCCAGACACAAGCTCTCCCTGCCACCCTCCTCTGTCCCTTCCTCCCTCCAGCTCCCCCCACACCCTAACTCTCACTTCAGGGCAGCCCTGTCTCTGCTGGTCATATTTTTCCTTCCTGCAGTGGAGGGAGATGACCTAAGAGTCATCAAATCCCTGAAGAACCTCTAATATGATGGAGGAGCCAACCCTGCCCAGCCCAGCCCTGCCCCCAACCAGGGCCGCCTCCTCTTGGCCTCCCAGTGCTGTGTTTAAGCACCTGCAACAGGCCAGGCACCAGGCCAGTGCCTTCCAATAACAGGAAATCATGTGATCTTACTGCAGAAGATGCAGGCCTTCCTTATCATTCACTGTAGAGACGAGAGAACCAAGGCTCTGGGAACTGATGTGACAGTCCAGGGTCACCAGAATAATGGCACAACCAGGAGTCACACCCAGCCCAATGCCCAATTGTGGGGCTTATCCTCTGCCCCTATCCTCCCGCTTATTACTTTCACTGTGTTATTCCTTCAGGAAGGACATAGGGAGCCGGCCAGGGAATCTCGCATCTAAGGGGAGAGCTCCCCCAGCCCCCACCTCGAGAAAGCGGCCCCGTGTGAACTCTGGGGAGGGACACAGGGCAGGCTTCCTGGAGGAGGTGGCAGGTAGAGAGGAGACTGAAGAGGACAGAGCTTTCCAAAAAGGTGAGTGGCAGGGCCAAAGGCGGAGTCTGGGGAAAGTGGGCCAAGAGGTCTGGAGCCTGGGGGGGGGGGCATGGAACAGGGCGGAAGCAAGGCAGGCTCATCAGAAGGGCCTCAAGGGCCCAACCCAGGAGCTTGGGGACTTGGGGATGGGCAGGGAGGTCACTGGGCCAGTGTGTTGGGTTGGTTGGAGGGGGAGAGTCGGGAGGGCTGCCCTGCTCTGGGGTGGGTGATAGAATCTCAGGACAGGGGAGGCAGGGCTTGGGGGGGGGTGTCCCTAGCCCAGGACCAGCCCAGATCCCCAGAAAAGCCCCCGGCCCCAGGCCAGGACAGGCCTTATCTCCAGTGCGCAGAACGAGGGTCCAGGACCACCCCATCCTGCTTCCTCTTGGAAGATCAGAGGAGGCTGGAACCCAGCGCTCTGGGCAGGGCACACACCTGATGACAACATACAGAGAAGCTGTATGCTTCTGTGACACACCAAGAGGCTGAGAGAAACCAGCAGGCAGACCGGAGAGGACTCCCAGGTAGGCAGCCAGTGAGTCAGCGGTGACATGGCCAGAGACAAGATCCAGGAGTCCGGGATCGCAAGCACCACCTCGCCCCAGCCCCAGGTGACTCAGAGAGCCTATTACCCCTCCCTCTGGGTGCGGAGGCCCCATGATCCCCCCTGCCACCCTCTCTCTCCCACGTCTCCCAGCACAGATGAGTGGACACCACCCATGCCTTTTCCTGCCACGCACAGATACTAATCGCTTGCCTTCTAGGGGCCCAGGAAGTCCAGCTGCCAGATCTCTGCGCTACTGCCAGGTGCACCTAGTGACCCCGGCAGCAGCTGTCATTCCCTGCCGGCTCTGGACTGTCCCATCCGTCCAGGCCCAAGGAAGGGCACACCCGCTCCTCACTGCCCCATCCCCTGGGGAGCAGGAGGTGGGGCAGGGCAGGAACAGCCATGCTGGTGGTTAGGCTTGAGCTTTGAAATTTTTCTTTTTATATCAGGGCTTAACCCATGTGGCTTGAACTTTTGAAGTGTGCCCGGGAGCTCGCCTACAGCTCCTCCCCTCCCGCCCTCCTGCCTCTCCCCAGCAGGTCTGGGGGAGTGTGGATGCCCAGGGGCTTGCCAGCTGCCACCCAGCTTGTGTCACTACCCTCAGCACACCTCTCCACCCACTCCCCCAGCCCCACCCAGGCCGGGCCGCATGGAGCTCCCACACACCTTTAGTGTGCGACAAACATACGTGTTTCTTCGTTTTCTTTCAATCACTTTCATTCCATCTCACCTTCATTTGCCATCTCAGCAGGCTATCAGGGAGCTCAGTGTCAGTCCTTCCTGCAGTTCCCTCTTTGACCAGGGAGACACGCAGTCCTAGGACCTCAGGAAGGCCCCCTTGTCCCATCAGCCATCACCAAGCTCTGGCTGCCATGGAAACTTCTAGGCTCCATGTGGCCCCTTCTGGGTCTGGGGCTCGGTGGCCTGGCAGCCACACCGAGGAATCAGAAATCACTGGTGGGCCAAGCCCTGGCCAGAAGCCACATAGCCACCCACTAAGGCGTCACCTCCCAAGCACCCCCAGTTTACTCATTTGTTAGTTAACTGCCTATTGTCTGTCTCCCCTGGTCAGATGTCAGTTCCAGGAAGGCAGGTATCCTTGTTTTGTTCATGTGACTGGTGCCTGGTGTGTAGGAGGAACACACAGTAGGAGCTTTCTCTGACACCACATGCGCTCAAAGCCTGGCCTATCCCTGCTCGACACTGAGCAAGGGAAGAGAACAAACACCAATTGGCCAGGCAGGACCTCCCTGGACACACACGCCAGCCATTGCTTGCTCAGCCTCCAGGCTGGCCAGACTAACCCTGGCCGTCACCTGCACACCAGAGCCACGTGACCTTGCAGCATTCAACTCACCCTCTCTGCTCCCCCACAGAGACCTCTCAAGCACCCCTCTGAGTGAGCAAGATGAAGCCTGGTTCTGACTCCCAGACATGGACTCTGAAGCCTACCCTGGTCCGGCTCTGCCTTCCTCTCTGTTTTTTGTTTTTTTTTTTGTTGTTTTTTTTTTGAGACAGGGTCTCACTCTGTTGCCCAGGCTAGAGTGCAGTGACATCAGCCTAGCTCACAGCAACCTCAAATCCCTGGACTCAAGTGATCCTCCTGCCTCAGCCTCCTGAGTAGCTGGGACTACAGGGCATGCCCCCATGACTGGCTAATTTTTTTGTTTCTATTTTAGTTGCCCAGCTAATTTTTTTCTATTTTTAGTAGAGACAGGGTCTGGCTCTTGCTCAGGCTAGTCTCGAACTCCTGATCTAAAGCGATCTTCCATACTCAGCCTCCAATAGTCCTAGGATTACAGGCATGAGCCACCCTTCCTGGCCTGCCTTCCTCTCTTGCTGCATATCCTAAGGTTCTGCCTGGACATCACATCCTGAGTCACTTGTCCCTTATCACCAAGCTCTCAGCACTCCATGCTCTCTCTTAAGCCCCCGGGCCTTTGCACATGCCAAGGCCTCTGCCAAACATGCCCGTTCATCATTTTGCCACATGGAAAACCCCTCCCCATTCTCTGAACCCCAGCTCCAAGGTCATTGCATACTGCATATGGGCTCTCCCAAATGCTTCCAATCACCCCATCAGAGCACTTGTCACACTATCACACTGTGTGTAGGTGTGCCCCTACACAACTAAGCTGTGAGTTCCTCAAGGGCAGGGACAGCAATTTATTTTTCTGACCTCCCTGTGAATAGCTTGCATGGATCACAGAATAGGCATCAGTGATCAGCTATTGAATTTGGTCTTTGGAATTATTAGTATTAATAAGACTGAACAAGAGTAAAAAAGGAAACAGATATTGATATAAATAAATGACTGATTGCATAAAATTAAATAAATGGAGGGGAAACAAATTTTTCATGCAGAAAATGTATGTAGATACTCCACCCTCCTGCAGGAGAGATAAACTTCCCAGGCCTTAAGTGTGGGCTGTGCATGGTGGCTCCCTTCCCCGGGGAAAGGGAGGCACGGTATGGGAAGGGGGGAAGAGTAACTGAACAGTGGAGACACCTGACAGCCACTCCCCCAGCCAGGTGATCAGCATCAAGTCCAAAGTCACGTCAATAATCTGTGTTCTTGATAGGATGTGAAGAAAACGGCCCTTTACCTGTGATGTTTCTCCTAAAAACCCATAATCCCAGTTTAACCATGAGAAAACCACCTGACAATCCCGATAGAGGGCATCCTACAGCATCCTGCCCTGCTCTGCTCAAAGCTGTGACGACAGCAAAACCAGGGAAGTCTGAGAAATTGTCGCAGCCAAGAGCCATCATTTTGTGATGACTACCTGTCACATGATGTCCTGGGTGGGGTCCTGGGACAGAGAAGGCCATTAGGAAAAAGCTCTGGAAATTGATATATGTAAATAAATACGTAAATACATGTGCTGTGGTGTCCCTGATGGAACAGCAAAGGCCATTAGATAAAAGTGGTGGAGATCACTATATAGACTTTAGTAAATAACATCGTTATCAATGTTGATATCAACATTGGTTCATTAATTGAAACAAACATGCAACGTTAATATAAAATGTTAATAGTGGGGAGAAAGGGTGTGGGGATATGTGAGAATGCTCTGCACCACCTTGTCAATTTTTCTGTAAATCTAAAACTGTTTGTTCTTACAGATAAAGAAAGGAGGAGGAGGCAGGGAGGGAGGGAAAGTTGAGCCAAGCCTACCTCCTCCAGGGAGGCTTCCTGGTTCCTGCCTGGTCCAGGAAGAGACTCTGAGGTGCCAGCAGGCAGGACCCAGTACTCAACCCTGCCCAAGTTCAAGAACCTCTGACAACAGTGTCTCATTCAAAGGAGAGGTGTACCAAAGTATTAAGCCTCCGACTATCATGGTGTATTCATCTAACTCTCAGATGGTTCCAGAAAAAGCAAAGTGAGGACTGGAGAGAGAGCACGAACGTAACAAAATGTTAACAAGTGGCAAGACTGAATGAAGGGTATGTGAAAGTTCATTGGACTCGTCTTGCAACTTTTCTGTAGGTTTTGGATTTTTCAAAATAAAAAGCAGAGAGAAAAATTAAGAAGAGACCAGTCAGGTGAGTGGGTAGGAGGAACCCGCCTTGCAGGCGGAGAAACCATCTGTGCAAAGGCCCTGAGGCCCGGGAGAGCCGGTGTAGGTCTGGAGGCCTGGGAGGTGGGGCCAAGAAGGTGGGCAAGGTGAGACGGAGGGGCCGCAGAGGCTGGAATCCTTGGAGTGAGATGCTGAGAAGAGCTGAGGTGTGGCTGAGCTGGCCCAGGGACAGCAGGAGGACAGGAGGAGGACGGCGGCAGCAGCGGACAAGCAGCAAATCAGGATGGAAGCCCCTTGAGCCTGGCTTCCTCATCCAGCCCATCCCACCACCCTACAAGCCGGCCCATCCTTGCCCAGGCCTCAGAGACACCCAAGGGCTGGGTCACATGGCTGCCCGCCCCTCCCCACAGGCACACCCAGAAGCTCTCCTGGCCCCGTGTCCCCAGCCCCAGATCCACCGCAACTTCAATTCCCTGCTCTCTCTCCTGATCTGACCCTTGTACCTTGCCTCGTACCCTGGGCTTCCCTGCTTGTGGGGAAGTGGCTCCCCCTGTCGCTTCTAACACCACTTTGGATGAGTCTGGCACAAAACGAGCCTCCCAACTCCCTTTCCCTCCTCTGTGCTCTGGATGGACTGGGGAGCTCAGACTTCCTTACCTTGGAGGGCAAGGGCAGTGACAACAATGGTAACTACCCGAATGTTCATAGCAGCACCATTCCCGACAGCCAAAGGGACAACAACCCAAATGCAAGTGTCCGTCGCCAGATAAACAGAATGAGCTATATCCACACAATGGACTGCCCTTCAGCCCCAGGAATAAAGGGCTGACACACACCACCACAAGGATGAACCTCGAAACGCTGTGCTCCATGAAAGAAGCCGGACACAAACATCGCATATCACATGATTCCATTTCTATGAAGTGTCCAAGCAGGCAAACGCAGAGACAGAAATGGGACTCGTGGCTTAGGGACATAAGAGACACGTGGCATGAGGGTGAAGGGTTTGGAATTCCTCTTTGCAGTGAGGAAAATGTTCTAAAATTGACGGTGGCGATGGTTGCAAAACTCTGAGTATACTAAAAGCCATTCAATTGTGCACTTTATTTTTTGAAATTTTTTTTTTTTTTTTTTTTTTTTGAGACAGAGTCTCGCTTTCTTGCCTAGGCTAGAGTGAGTGCCGTGGCGTCAGCCTAGCTCACAGCAACCTCAAACTCCTGGGCTCAAGCGATCCTCCTGCCTCAGCCTCCCGAGTAGCTGGGACTACAGGCATGCGCCACCATGCCCGGCTAATTTTTTTATATATATCAGTTGGCCAATTAATTTCTTTCTATTTATAGTAGAGACGGGGTCTCGCTCTTGCTCAGGCTGGTTTTGAACTCCTGACCTTGAGCAATCCGCCCGCCTCGGCCTCCCAAGAGCTAGGATTACAGGCGTGAGCCACAGCGCCCGGCCTATTTTTTGAAATTTTTAAATGAAGTTTTTCAAGAGACGGGATCTTGCTATGTTGCCCAGGCTGGAGCACAGTGGCTCTTCACGGGCAGGATCCACTACTGATCAGCGCAGGAGTTTTGACATGCTTCGTTTCCAGCCTGGTGGGTTCGCCCCTCCTTAGGTAACCTGGTGGTCCCCTGCTCCTGGGAGGTCACTACATTGATGCCTAACGCCTATTGTCAGAAAGCGCTACAGCCCAGAATTCCTGGGCTCAAGCCATCCTCCCACCCCAGCCTCCCGAGTAGCTGGGACTACAGATGTCCGGCCGCCGCACGTGGCAAAGTGTGCACTTTAAAGGGGGGGGGTTGTATTGTATGTGCATTCCACTTCAATAAAGCTGCTTCAAAAATAATAATTAGCATTTCCTGAACAGGCAGGCCCCACAGACAGCCTCTGTTAACCCTCAGGACACCAGAGCTTGGTGCACTGAAGCGACACACCCAGGGTCACACAGCTGCTGGAGCCAGGACTGAGCCCAGAACTGTTGGTGACTAGAGCCCGGTGTGTAGCCATGCCAAGCATGGGGTCTACTCAAGCTGGTTTCCAAGACATTACGGAGCCCCAAGCTCGCGGGTTCTGGGGAGCAGCTCAGAAGCCCACGGGTGGGGTCCGCAGGGGCTCGGGTGGCCACGCAGGGGCTCGGGTGGCCACGCAGGGTCGGGCACAGCTGCGGGAGACGGTGCAGGGCTGCGGGGGAAGGGTGTGGGTACACAGCAGGGGAGTGGAAACTCAGGGTGCCTGCGACCAGTGCGACCAAAAACAAAACCTCGGTGGCCTCCGCCCAACCCCAAGCCCTTGCACGGCGGGGGTGCGACCCAGGCAGGAGGCGCCCCCGCATTGGTGCTGGAAGCGCTGGGTCCACCTCTCCCGCCAAGGCTGAGCGGGCCGGGCCACGGCGGCTGTCCCCGGAGTCGCCCCCGCCTGTTTGTCTGCGGGACTGCGGCCTCGGGGATGTCCCATGCCGTCCGACAGAAATGTTGAAAATCGCGCGGTCGCCGACGGCAGGCGGAGGGTGGGGACCGAGCGTTGTGACCCGCTGCCCGAGGCGCCTGCGCGTTGGCTGCTTAAGTGGCGAGCCATGGGTGGGATTTACAAACTGTTCACCACGATGACAAGTAAAAGCTGTCCCCCAGGGCCAGGTGCGCGGCCGAGGCTGGGGTCCGTCCTCCCGGGGTCTGGCGGGGCGGTCTGGACGGGCCGCGCGTGGCGTGCCCTCGCGAAACTGCGCAGGGCACAGCGAGTGGGCCGAAGCCCCACGGGGAGGCCAGCGAGGCGGCCACTGGGGGGCGGGACTGCCCTGTCCCTGGGAAGGTCGGATGGGGAGGTGGCAGCTGCGGCCCGGGAGTATGGGGCGCCCCCCAGTGGAGGCGGGCGTCACTGCAGCGCCCGGCCGCCCGGCCCGGAGGGCTGGGAGCGGGGAGGCGAGGCGCGCGGGAGGAAGCAGCAGGGGGCGGTGAGGCGGCAGCTGCTCAGAGCTCCTGGGAGCTGTGATTCCAGACTCGCAGCCCCCTCCTCTTCCCCCTCCTGGGCCTGGGAGGATGGCAGGACCCCCGCCCGTGTTCCCGACAGAATGGAGGGCTCAGCCAGGCCAGGACAAGCTGGCAGGTCCCAGTCACGTCCCAGCCCTGTCCCGAGCCCCCTCCCCTCTCTTAGTCCCCCACCGACTCCCTGCTTCTCCATCCCCGCCCACGCCCTTCCACGGCCCCCCAGGGAGAGAAAGCTCAATGAGGAGTGACGGGGATGGGAGGGGACTCAGAGAGGGAGGCTCAGTGAGGGGAGGTTGGGGGAGGGGCCTGTAAGAGGGGGTCAGTACGCGGGGCTCTTGGGGGAGGGGCTCAGGGTGGGCAGCGGAGACCAGGGACAGCCTGAGGTGTGGGCTCAGCTCCTGGCCCCAGTGGGGGCTGGGCCCCCTCCCGGCAGCGCCCTTGGCACAGCTTCCAGGCAGCCCCGGGCTCGGTTTCAGCAGGTCTGACTGAAAACGGAAGAAAACTGAGCTTGGGCAGGGCCTCTTTATGGCTCCAGATGAAACCTGGCCCTGGGGACAGGGAAGAAATTTCTCCAAGGGGAGGAAGGGGTGACTCACTCCTCATTTCCTGGCTCTGTGACACCTAAGAGCCTGGGAATTACCCGAAAGCAGCCAACCAGGTCAGGCCGAGAGAAAACAGTCCCACCTGCCCTGGCCACTCTCAACTCACCTTCCCACGTCACCCACACGGAGGAACAGGCCACACCTGGAACTGGGGACGGGCAGCATGAGAAACATACACCCTCTCACACAAGCACAAACCCACCTCTTGAACCAAACATGCCAGTCCATCTGCAGAAGAGGCGCACACACGCTGAACCCCAAACCAGTTCTGGTTCTCAGCTGGCCAGTTTAAGAGGTCCCTTATGGGTTCCAGAAAGCTGGAAAGAGGTGGAGGGCTGGGAGGGGACGCACACCAGCAGCCCCACTGCAGGAGAAGGAAAGCACAAATTGAGTTTTTTGTTTGTTTATTTGGTTTGAGACAGGGTCTCACTCTGTCGCCCAGGCTGGAGTGCAGTGGCATCATCATAGCTCACTGCAACCTCAAACTCCTGAGCTCAAGTGATCCTCCTGCCTCAGCCTCCCAGGTAGCTAAGACTACAGGTGCACACTATCATACCTGGCTAATTTTTCTGGGTTTTGTAAAGACAGGGTCTCTACTAAAAGCAGAAAATCTACCCAGGCTGGTCTCAAACTCCTGGCCTCAAGCAATCTTCCTGCCTCAGCCTCCAAAAATGCTAGGATTACAGGCGTGAGCCATTGCACCCCACTGTAAATTGAGTTTTAATTGACCCAGGGCCAGGCACTCTGTGGTCACAAGGATCTGAGATAGGGATGATTATTCTCATTCTTCAGAAACTCTAAGAGGACATTTTCTGCCCAGGAGCACCTAGCTGTCCCTGCCTTGCCTACGCTGACGGCTGCCCCCGGCGCTGTTTCCCCATCTTAGGTTGCTGTTCCAAGATTACACATAAATCTTGGCATCCCAGCCCAGATGTCTGTGTAACAAAAGCTGGTTGGAAAATCACCTCTCAGGATGTGCCTGGAATCCATAGCACCTGCCCACAGTGGCCATTGCTGTCAGAGCAGCGCTGCACCTGTGTACACAGCTGGAGCTCCCAAGATGGACGTGCTGGTTTGCTTGGTAGCTTCCTCTCTGTGTGATACTTCTTATTTTCCCCCTTGGGCTGAGGCTTCCCAGGGCAGGACCTCTCTCTCCTAACTTAAGCCACAAAAAAGTGTGGGAATTGAAAGGAATAGGATGGATGTGTATATGAAATAAACTAATGTTAAAGAAAAAATGTTCAACATTTGTATGAATTTTATTTGTATATCTTTTTATTTGTATAAATTTATGGGGTACAAGTACAATTGTTTTTTTCTAGAGAGAGGGTCTTCCTCTGCTGCCCAGGCTGGCATGCAGTGGTGCAATCATAGCTCACTGTAGCCTCAAATTCCCAGGCTCAGGTGATCCTCTTGCTTCAGCCTCCTGGGTAGCAAGGATTACAAGCACACACCACCACACCCAGCTTTTTAAAATTTTTGTAGAGACGGGGTTTTGCTATGTTGCCCAGGCTGGTCTCCAACTCCTGGCCTGGTGCTGGGATTCCAGGCATGAGCCACCCTGTGTGGCGGAAGTACAATTTTGTTACATGCCTAGATTACATAGTGGTGAAGTCAGGGCTTTTAAGGTATCCATCACTCAAACACTGTACATTGCACCCATAAATTTCTCATCATCCACCCCCACACACATGCACACTCCTTCCAAGTCTCCACTGTTTAATCGGCACTTGTTAAAGCACAGTAAGGAAGACTTCAGTCAGGACCATCCTAATAGGCACAGACACCACTGACTGCATCAGGGTCCTGCAGCGGGGGAGAGAGATTGGGCTCAACTCTGAATACACAATGGGCAAGTGGGAATTGACAACCAAGGAGCCGTGGGGGAGGTCAGTAGGCAGAAAATTACTCGGAAGAAACACATCAGGGGTGAGGGATTCTGGCTAAGCCGACCTAACAGGATTCTTGCTGAAGATAGGACAGGGTGATCAGACATCACCCAGGGGACCCAGGAGGATGAGATGAGGAACTTGATCAGATATGGAAGGTGATCACATGTTGAAGATGGGAGAGAGGGTTCTTGCTAAACTGACTTAGCAGGATTCTTTGTTCAAACAGGATTTTATAAGGAAGTGTGCAGAGGGGTCTAGCAGAAGATTCAGAAGCCTGATTGAAGTTTGGCCAAGCAAAGAATTTTTGTCAGTCTCCCCTCTTGTTCAAGGAAATAAGAGACAGTCTTCTTTCCTTTGAACAATGTAAGTCCTCTTTTTTTTTGTTCCATCTCCTTTTGTTCATCAAAGACCAGCTGAATCATCCGCTGGCTTGGGAGTAGAGGACATCTCCTAGAAAGTGTGAGCCATCAGGCCTTTAACAAGGAAGTTTTGTTTCTGTGAAAATAAAAGAAAAACAAAGGTTAATAGTGGGAACAAACTATAAACTTGGTTTCTGAGTCCAGAGGGCAGCTGGTCAAGATTCCAGATTTGGGAATCTGAAGCATGTTAGTTGCACTGAGGACAGGCAGTGGCCATCTGACAGATTTCCCTGCTTTGTGGTTTGGGTGTCATAAAGGTTTCTATACATAAGCTGTTGTGGGAGTTTCTCTGACATTTCTATTAAGTTGTCCAGCTCTAGCTTGCAGGGCTTCAGGAAAAGAGCAATTTTCTTTTATTATTATTATTTTTGGAGACAGAGTCTCGCTCTGTTGCCTGGGCTAGAGTGCCCTGGCATCAGCCTAGTTTGAAAGAACCTCAGACTCCTAGGCTGAAGCGATGCTTCTGCCTCAGCCTCCCAAGTAGCTGGGACTACAGGTGCTTGCCACCACACCCAGGTAATTTTTTGTTTCTATTTTTAGTTGCCTGGCTAATTTTTTCTATTTTTAGTAAAGATGGGGTCTCGCTCTTGCTGGTCTCAAACTCCTGACCTTAAGGAATCCTCCTGTCTTGGCCTCCCAGAGTGCTAGGATTTCAGGCATGAGCCACTGCGCCTGGCCAGGAGCAGTTTTCATGTCAGTGATTCCATACCAGAAGGGCAGGACGAAATTGGAAATATTAATTTGCAGAGTTATAACCAGATAATGGAAGAAACTAGAATTCAGGATCCGGTCCAGATTGCAGGTAGATGGTAAAACCTCAAAGAAAATGATCAGAGCTAGAATCTAATATTAGGTGCACTACAGTTTTCTTCTGAAAGATAATTTGTCTCTCTCCAGTCACCCCCATTTCTAACAAAAATAATCCAAATTGAGACTGGTTTGCTTGGAAAACAAGTTGAGTGTCATTTAATTTACCTTGATTATTTACCTAAGTGCAGCAAGAATAGTGTTTGACCATGTAAGAGTTTTTAAAGTTTGGTTTGCTGGAACTTCTGATAAGGAATCTCAGATTAGACTTTTTGAAACCTCTTGAGGCTAGGAAGCCAAGCCAAGAACTCACTACGAAACTTAGCCTGCAGTACTGATAGATTTGATTGAATTCCTGTCTTCTCAAGCTCTCAAAATATCCTGAAGTTCCTGGACCTGCCAGGAAGTGACACTCTGTACCCACCTTTAAGGCAACCATGTGACCCCTGTATTCAAGGCACCAGGCCAGTTTTTCCACAGTGGAATTTATTGGCTCCATAAAGTTAACCTTAGTTCCTTGAAGCCATCCGTTCATAACTGAAAATATGACATGCTAGTCAAAAATCTTAGTAATATAACAGTTGTTTCCAATTGTGTCCCATTCCAAGGAGAACAGATTCTTATTACACTTATGCAAATAACTATATTGCCATAAAAATAAGAATACTCACGAATAGTTTCTGAATTCTGAAGGGATTATGTAGGGAGAAAAAGTAAATGTTTCCATTTTTGTTCACTAGAGTAAACTTTACCAAGTTGCTGTGAGTGATAGCTTAAAAGGAAAAAGAAAAGCTTTCTTAAATCTAGAAAATAAAACATCCAAAGAACCAGCAATGTTTCAGAAAAAAAGGTCATTAAAAAATTATCCTTATCAGTTGATTCAGTCCCATGTAATTAATTCTTATTCTGCTTGATCTTGGGATAACAGTTTCATGAACCCATTGGTTTCATTAGTGTTCTAGAAATTCTCACCCAGTCCAATGGTATGATTTTAAAGTTATCAGAAACCTGTATTCTGGGGTATTTGTCAGAGTTTTTTCTGAGTCTCCTTGATGAAGAAGCAATTTTGGACTGTAACTGATTGCAAATGCTATTAGAGAAGAGTTAAAGGAAAACAATAACTGTCTATAGATGACAGACTTAAAATGGCCATGGTTAAAGATCTGATGAGAATTCATTACAATAATGACACAACTGGCAAGTAAATTTGGTTATTTCTGTGGCATACAACCTTTTAACATCATCATCAAAATTGTGACTGATAACATATCAGATTTTTAGAAATTTCATATGATTTCTGGAACACATACTAATAACATATCCATAAAAATGTAACTCCAGGAAGGTTACATACCATTTCTTATTTGGCAATGCTGCCCACATAATTTAACATATTAAATAAGCCTAAGTAGTTTATTATCTTTCTTTCACAAGGTGAAAAACACATCCTTTGAGCTTTCCAGCAGCTCAATTAGAAAATCCCAATGTTAATTTGAGGTCAAAAATATTTAATTTAGAATTTGATTTTGAGAAGTTTGTTAGAAATATAAAAAGATTTAGAGCACTTAAAATCTTGGTTATCTATTCAATCAAAGTGACAATGAAAGGTTTTAAAGGCAAATACAGAAGGTTACATAATTGTGAACAAAAGCATAGCTCTTTTAATTTTGAGAAGACTTAAGTTTCTTTGGTAACCAAAAACCTAATAAAAGACAACATCAAGCACAAGAAATTATTTTGATAAAACACAAAAGCTTCATTTCCTGGGCCAATTACTTAAAACAACCCTTCACATTCTCAGACCAATAAATAGTCCAAGAAAATTTTGTCATTATAACAGAGAAACCCAAATTCTACTTTTGCATCAATGTACTACTAGAACTAATTTTTAATAAAACTTTATAAATAAATTCATTCAATATTAGCCAGCTTTGACCACACAAGACTTCTTTTCCATGGTTGGGTCTAGATTTTTAATAAATATCTATTATTCAATTTAACTCAGGACAACTTTAAGGTTGGAATTTATAAAACAAGATTTTTGAAATTATTTTTAAGTAGACATAATTTAAAGCCTAATTATTTTTGAAAATTTTACTTACAAACTTTTATTCTACTTATATTCATCTAATTTATTCATTCTTAACAATTATGTTTGAATTGCTGGTGAAAATTTTCATGAACATTAAGCAAATCTAGCCATTATCTTAAAATATTTTTCCTATTGACAAATCAGACAAATATCAGAAATATCACAAAAGCACAGAAACTAAAAAGTTAAACAAGATTTTTCTCTCTCTCTTTTTTTTTTACTTCCATGACTGACATGCATCAAACAATTAAGCAATTCATTTTTACTATGCCTTCTGCTGTTGGACTAGATTTATAGTTTTATGTCCTTAAACATCAAGCAGAGACAACACAAACCTGTGTAACCAGAAAATCCAGGCAAAAATTTATGTCTGCATTTAATGCTGACAATTCTGGAGACATTCCTATTTTTTTTATTTTACCGACAATTTTTTTTTTTTTTTTTTTTTTTTGAGACAGAGTCTCACTTTGTTGCCTGGGCTAGAGTGCTGTGGCCTCAGCCTAGCTCACAGCAACCTCAAACTCCTGGACTTAAGCAATCCTCCTGCCTCAGCCTCCCAAACAGCTGGGACTACAAGCATGCACCACCACACCAGGCTAATTTTTCCATTTTTAGTAGAGATGGGATCTTGCTCTTGCTCAGGCTGGTCTCGAACTCCTGATCTCAAGCAATCTTCCCACCTTGGCCTCCCAGAGCCACCACACCCAGCCTTATTTTACCAACAATTTAAAAACCAGTTTTATCTACCAAAGATTACCCTAGATCATATGAACTTAAAAAAAAAAAACTGGATCAGTTTTCATTTTCCTGAGAATTTTAGGAGTACTTCATTTATTTGAGCACTCATTTAATCTCTAAGACAACTTGGGTATTTTAGTTTGATAATACCATTGGAGGTAGAAAAATATCATGTATACATAAGCATACAGACATATGTAACCAGATCTTATGGCTTATCCTCTTAAAAATTTTAGTCATGAGGCAGTAAAATAGGAGAATACAAACTCATTGGTTTATCTCCACTTTATATATTTATCCAAATTGTGTTTCTAATGAAAATAGAACAAGCCAAGATTACCTACCCAGCAAAGGCTAAAGGTTTTTACCAATATGTGTGAAGAAGGCTTTTAAGAGTTTTCATCTGCCCAGTATACAAATAGTTCCTTCTCTCCCTTGTCCCTCTGTCCCTCTGTCCCTCTCTCCAGCCTTAGGTGCCTGCTGCTTGCGTGGGGATGGCTGAGTCCCTTGAGAGCCTCCAATGAAGGGTGGGGGCCCTAAAGCTCAAGTGACTGAGGGGCTGGAGTGGGGAGGGAAGGGGTCTGGCAGAGCACAGAGTCCGCAGGGGTTGGAGAAGAGGGGTTTCAGGTGACAGAGAAGTTGTCATGGAAGAAGCAGGACCCAACAGAGAGAAGGGAGAGACCCACAGAGAACCAGGAAGAGGGACTTCCAGCCCAGGAGGCACCTTTCCGAAGAAGCCTCGGACTCTAACCCAGCTTCAGAGAGTGTGCTTGTAAGAATCAAAACCTGTCCTTAAGTCTGTCCTTACCAGCTTCATTGGATGTTTGGATCAATGGCTCAGGAGGAGTCTGACTCCCTGATCTATCAGTCAGGAGTGAAGACAAAGGTGTGCACTTAGGTCCCAGGTGAGAGGCCAGGGGTCCAAGAGATGAGTATCATCCTATACAACAAGTCAAGGCAGCATAACTGTTAAAGAAAAAAGTTATTCAATGACACTTGTTAAAGCATGGTGAGGATGACCCTTCAGGACCATTGTGACAGGTATAGCAACCACTGCAAACAGGGTTTCACAGTAGGGGAGAGAGATTGGGCTCAACTCCAAATACAGCATAGGCAAGTGGGAATTTATAGCCAAGGAGTAGGATGAGGGTGAGTGGATGGAAAATTACTAAAAAGCAAGGGTAAGGGGGATTCTGGCTAAACCGGCTTAACAGGATTCTTGCTGAAGGCAGGCCAGGGTGACCAGACACCACCTGGAGAATGGTGGCAGGTGAAGAACCTGGTCAGATCTCAAGGATGATCGGATATATAGGATGGATATAGGATATATAGGATATATAGTTGCAAAACTCCCTTAGCAGGGTGCTTGCTAAAACACGATTTTACAAAGAAGTACACAGACAGGCCTAGGAGAAGGTTCAGGAGTCTGACTACAGTTTGACCAAAGACTCTTTGTCACTAAACATCTAAATGAAAAGAAAAGAACTGTAAAACATTTAGAAGAAAATATAGGAGATTATCTCTATTCCTTGGGTCTAGGAAAGTATTTCTTAAATAAAAGACACAAAAGATATATGAAAAAGAGAAAAAAATTGATAAAGTTGGGTACTTTAAAAAACTGGCATGACAAAAGATACAATAAAATAAAAGTTTAAAAGGCTATGTGTGTCGGTAATCGTAGCATTCTGGGAGGCCGAGGCAGGAGGACTGCTTGAGCTTAGGAGTTTGAGACCAGCCTGAGTAAGAGTGAGACCCATCTCTACTAAAAATAGAAAAAAATTAAGCCGGGCATGGTGGTGCATGCCTATAGTCCCAGCTACTTGGGAGGCTGAGGCAGGAGGATCGCTTGAGCCCTGGAGTTTGAGGTTGCTGTGAGCTAGTCTGATGCCACGGCACTCTAGCTTGGGTGACAGAGTGAGACACTGTCTCGAAAAAAAAAAAAAAAAAAAGGATTAGTGCATTTTAAGGAACTTACTGAATGTATTTTATGTTTCCAAAATGAAACTGGGTAGCAGAAGACACCATAAAAATGGTCACAGATAAGCTATAGTCTGGGAGAAAATATTTCCAACCCTTATAACCAATAAGTGATTAGTACTCTGAATAGATAAAAAAAAATTCTATAAATCAATGAGAAAAAGACAAATGACCCAATAGAAAACTAGTCAAACTCTATCAATAAGCAGCCCGTAGAAAGAACATTGAAATGAACAATAAACATAGGAAAGATGCTCAGTGTCACTACTAATTGGAGAAACACAAATTAAAATGAGATGCCCCTTGACCCCCACAGAATGACAAAAATCTCTCTGATGTGCTGAAGGGAGTGTTTATGGGTACAATACTTTTAAAGAATCATTTGGCAATGTCCATCGTGAGTTGATTTTTGTGAGAGGTGAAAGTGCAGATCCTGTTTCAGTCTTCTACATGTGGCTATCCAGTTTTTCTAGCACCATTTATTGAATAAGGATTCTTTTCTCCAGTGTATGTTCTTGTCTGCTTTGTCAAAGATGAGATGGCTATATGAGGATGGTTTTATAGCTGAATTCTCAGTTCTGTTCCATTGGTCTATGTCTCTGTTCTTGTGCCAGTTTCATGCTGTTTTAGTTACTATAGACCTGCAGTATAGCTTGAAGTCTGGTAAATTGATACCTCCCAATTTGTTCTTTTTGCTTAAGATTGTTTTTGCTGTACGGAGTCTTCTCTGATTCCATACGAAGCATAGAATTAATTTTTCTAGATCTGTGAAAAATGATGTTGATATTTTAATAGGTATTGCACTGAATCTGTAGATCACTTTGAGTAGTATAGACATTTTAACAATGTTGATTCTGCTGACCCACGAGCATGGTATGGTTTTCCACCTCTTTATGTCCTCTGCTATTTCCTTCCTCAGTGTTTCATAATTCTCCCTATAGAGGTCTTTTACCTCCTTAGTTATAATTAAATGCGAGCTGATCAAATTAAAAAGCTTCTGCACAGCCAAGGAAACTATCATGAGAACAAACAGACAACCTACAGAATGGGAGAAAATATTTGCATGTTACACATCCAATAAAGGGCTGATAACTAGAATCTATATAGAACTTTGGAAAATCGGCAAGAAAAAATCAAACAACCCAATCAAAAAGTGGGCAAAGAATATGAACAGAATCTTTTCAAAAGAAGATAGACTAATGGCCAACAAACATATAAAAAGTGCTCAACATCTCTAATCAAAATACAAAACAAAACCACCATGTGATATCACCTATCTCTAGTGAGAATGACCTTTATCAAAAAGTCCCTAAACAATCAATATTGGCATGGATATGGAGAGATAGGAACACTTATACACTGCTGGTGGGACTGCAAACTAGTGCAGCCTTGTGGAAAGTAATATGGAGATACCTCAAAGGACTGCAAGTAGAACTACCTTTTGATCCAGCAATCCCATTACTGGACATCTACCCAAAGGAACAAAAAACATTCTATAAAAAAGATATCTGCACTAGAATGTTTACAGGAGCACAATTCACAATTGCAAAGATATGGAAACAACCCAAGTACCCATCAATACATGAGTGGATTAATAAAATGTAGTATATGTATACCATGGAGTTCTACTCAGCCACAAAAAACAATGGTGATCTAGTACCTCTTGTATTATTCTGGATAGAGCTGGAGCCCATTCTACTAAGTGAAGTATCATAAGAATGGAAAAACAAGCACCACAGGTACTCACCATCAAATTGGTTTTAACTGATCAACCCTTAAGTGTACATATGCTAATAACATTCATCAGATGTCGGGCAGAAGGGAGGGAGAAGGAGGGGATGGGTATATACACACCTAATGGATGTGGTGTGCATCATCTGGGGGATGGACATGCTTAAAGCTCTGACTTGGGTGGGGCAAAGGCAATATATGTAACCTAAACATTTGTACCCACATAATACACTGAAAATTTTTTTTAATTAAAAAAAATAAAATTTTTTAAAAATTAAATTAAATTTTAAAATGTTTAAATAAAAATTTGTGGACAAAAAACACTTATTAAATCTGAGTGATGGGTCCCTTGGGTGTTCCTTATATTATTCTTTGTACTTCCCTGTTGAAGGAGCCCACGCCACAGGACGCTCCCTCCCTCCCAGGGTTGTGTCCCTGTTGTCACGAAGTCCCCCAAGGGAGCATCTGTTCTTTGGCAGAGCTCACAGAAACAGGAAACAAAGCCCTCATGAGTGGCTCATGGGGTATTCTACCCCATTTTTGCCTGTCAGGTCCTGGATCCGCTAGAAACCTGTCTGATCCCAGAGCCCTAATTCATGCTCAATGTCACATTCACAGAGCATGGTCCAGTGTTGAACGTGCAAGGAAAAGGGACTCCCTACCACCCCTGCACCTTTTGAAAGCTGTCAAGGAAATCCGCATATGTGATGCACTGCGACACAAATGACAGCCTCCTCTCCTCGCCTCTCTTCTCACCTCACACCTGGTTCTAAACTGTTGTTCTAGAAGCTGCCTCCAAAACCTCTCTCCCATGCCCTGTCTAAAGAGCTCTGTTCCTCCTCCCCTATCCCCCCACCCCATCTCAACACTGCTCAGATCCTTGTGTGCTCAGCAGTTAGGACAGAGGAAATCCGGCGCAATGAGAGGATCCTCCGTCCCAGACCAGGGAAGGAGGAAGCCTTTTGAATGCACCTGTGTCCCAGCTCTGGCAGAAACAGCACTACCTATAAACACATCTGCAAGGCAGCAGCCAACCTCCCACGCCAGTGTCTCCCGGGTAGAGCCACAGCTGTCTTCAAAAGGACGTTTCATCATCTTGGAAGGCCAGGTGCTTCCAAAGGGTGGGGTTCACCAGAACAGCAGGGACTCGAAAGACAACACCACACCCTTCTGTTGCTGGAAGGCAGCTTGCAGAACAGCCTGTGGGGCATCAGTGGGTTCACAAATGGTGGCCCCGGCAGAGGCGTGAGAGGCAAGTAAAAGAAAATCCAACCCTCCAATAAGCATCTATCTGTGTATGGAGAAACTGGGGACCTGCTCACAGCAGAAGGAGTGGGGTCACAGTAGGCTGGCTGGTCCCTAGGAAGGAGGGTGTCATACTGGATTCAGAACTGGAACTGTTTTGTCGTGAGTAGATTCTGGTGTCAGCGATGGTGAGAAAAAGTCCCACGTGGCCTCCCACCCTGCCACCATGGCCTCTGTGGTCACAGCCCATAGAGCTGGGGAAGAAGGTGGCTGCCTGACACACACAGGGCTGCTCACTGCCCACAGAGTCGTCTAAGCCCCTTCAGCAGCGAGAGGCTCCTGCGCTCCTCCAGGTTGGAGCTCAGGGCTCGCAGTGGCCGTGCTGCCCTGCCAAGGGAGCGTGGCCTTTGTCAGCGATAAGGCAGGAGCCACAAACGGTTGAGTAACCGCTGATAGAGCCCTATCTTAAATCAACTTCTCTCTCCTTGGGCCTCAAAAGCTGCTTTGTTTAACTTTGTGTTGTTTGGATGAAGATATGATAAGGTGCCCAAGGTTTACGTAAACTCAGAAGTCCACAGAGTCTGTTACCCTGGAAAGGAAGCTTAGGGAGACGAGGACATGGCCCACAGAGGCTGGAAATGGGGGTGTCTTGTCCCCCTCCAGTGTCCCCTCCAGCCAAGCCTCAAACCAACTGAGCTTCCCTTGGGTTTCTTCCTTTTCCTTTTCCTTTTTCTCATTTTCATTGTCAGTAAGGGGCCCAGAACCAAAATATTGAATTGCAAAGGCTAAGCCAGTGGTCTCAAACGCAAACAGTTACAGGAGCTGAGCAGGTAACTTAAATGTGTACAGTGAGCCAGGCGAGAGGCAACAGGTGGGTACGACATCGTGATATAATAAGAAATACGGATGTGGTCTCTGGCCCTGGTTCCCGAGACAGAGCTAACACCCTTGTAGACAGGGGTGCTAGGAACGTCTTTCCCTCTAATGAGGCAACTCTTGGGGGGCTCCTGGCAGCCTCAGGATGGAGGCTGGTTGCCAAGGGAACCA